TCGAAAGAGCCGTTTTCGAGGGTCAAAATCAGATCACGAGAGTCCTCATTTATTTTAGGTTCTCAACACAATTAACTTGATCTCCGTATACGCGCGCACTCTCTCCTTCTCTCTGCTATCTTAGACTCCTGTCATCGGTCATTCCCTCGCTCACTCTTTTTGGTTTGTGCAAAAACAGTTATATTTAACCATGTTTGGCTGAACACCATACAGTAATCGCGATTTGTCATCAACAAGAGTCATTTAAAATATATTGAGCTTTAACCAATAAAACTGTTGGCAGCACTTTGGGAGAATTTTCACTAAGGGGGCAGGTATCCCATGATTGAACTATGTACCGTTTTAAACCGCTATTTGGTTGATTGGGCAAATGCAACTACTATCCGAAAGTTAGTTAGTCCGCAGCAGTGATTGTGATTAGAGTAGCAGTTTCCTTTCCTACTAGTGCTAGTCTCTTTCCATCAGTAATTCAGAAAATGTTTATATGTCAAGCAGATCTGATCATACACTCACACTAGTGTTAATCAACTCAAGGGATGGGGGACGGAGGTCCCACCTCCCCGGGGTGGGGTGGGGTGTGGTGGTGAGAAGATTCTATTCACAGAAGGACCGTAGTGACGGTAGCTGAGGCGTGAACTGGAAACGTTGCGGAAAGTTGTGTTTGCTGTTCTGTGTGCTACACCTGTGCGGTTCTTTTTTACTATTCTTACAACCAGACCACTGTCTCTGCTCCTGTTCCTCAACCTTCTGTGAACATGGCAGACGAGTAGCGACGGGATTCCGGACACTGTGATGTCGCTTACCCTCGCGTGTGCTTGCGGTTGGTTGCATAATGAGTTTAACAGTTTGCAGCTGATAGCAGCTGATTATCGCGTGTGTACAAGCGCGCGAGCACACACACACACACAGACACGCATCGGCAACACAGCGCACAGATGCTCGAACATCTTTATTTTACCAGATCACCTTGTCTCTCTTTGCGTGAAAAATACCATACTTTCCCCTCTGGCAAATAGGCCGATGGTATGATTGCAACCACAGATAACTGGAAAAGAGCACACAGACAAAGAGAATAAGGGGCCGAAATATTAAGTCGCTTTCGTCTGGATTAGCTGCTTGTTCGGATGGCTCTCTCGAGATAGCCCAGCCAAAATTCCGCGAACGATTGACTTACTGTGTTATTACGATTCTATCTATAGAGGTGAATTATAGTCGTGTTCTCTATGTAACTGCTAATCCCGGAACGTACACCCCGTTGGTTATTCGTTGTCTCATAACGGTAGACGGGACACGGCTAGTAATGGATATGTTTCATGTACTGGTCAAAGTTTGAATTTCTGAAGCAAGTTGTTCTAATTCTTTTCTTTGACCGTATACTGCAGAGGTGGACAGAATGTGAGGCGTAATAAAGTTGTTTCATGTCATTTTCCGATCCAATCTTGACCGATCTTATTTCTCTCAAGTTCACGCTTGAGATTTTCTGAAATCTGGGTCAACATCTTGGTGTGGGGTCCTTGATGGTTTGGTACTCCAAATCTACCGACAGAGGCTGGTTGAACTGTAGGCTCTTATGGTGTTTATCACCACATTTATGGAAAACATGGATTTCCATCACATAAATCAAAATCGATCTGTGCGGTAAATCCACTATCTCTTCAGCATATATCTGTAAACTGCGAATGTGATAGCCTAACTGTGAACGAGCAGGCGACTTCCAAAATTAAAAGGCTAGTACACATGCATCATCCTTCGTTTCGTAACTGTCGGTATACATACATGACAATGAAGTGCGGCGAGACTTTGCACATTTGCTAAAATTAATACCCTCATTTTACTTTCCATCTGGTTGGGAATCCAGAGTTTAAGGGTAGCCAAACCAAAGCTCTATGAGCGATTCCAACGGTCCTTCAGCAGTGTTTTTACGTTAACACCATCCAATATCGAGCTCGTCTACAACATTAACAATTGTTTTCTATCATAAAGTATTTGGATAGTAATGTGTCGATTTGCGAGATTCGATTCATTAAATTATCTGTAACTTAGAGCCGACACTGCAGACTATGTACTTCGAAGATTACTTCCCTTAGTGCAGTTCTTTATTACATATTGATATGTGTATTGAGCGCCTTGTTCGTCGTAATACATACAGTACAGCTGTTCTGAATAGTCAGTAAACGTCACAACACATACTATCCTACTTTACTGCACACTGTACCACCGATGATAACGTTTTCTTATGCTCAAAAAAATAACACTAAGTATTTTGTAGGGAATTCAAAATCGAGAACACGCTTCTAGTTGACAAATAGATGCCATCTAGTAGATTCACAAAACAAACAAATAAATAAGAAATACGAGGCGGGAAAAATGATCTCAAATTTCAGAACTTATTTCGAGCTCAATTCTGAGTTACTGTTGAATTAGATGAGGTAGAAATGTGTATCTGGATGGTAACTCAAGTTCGTGCCGCACACCTGAATGGGATTTTGAATTTGATTGAACTCTACAAGCATCAATTTGCTACTTATTAAACCTATACAAATTTGTACATATCGAAAGCTTCCAAAGAACGATGCAACTGTTTTGGCCGGCAGGAATCCACTGAACTTACCGATGATCTACCTTGAGAACATGCAGATGGAACGTAAGTATACTACTACTAATACAACCCATTTGCCTACCAGGCAGCTTATTCTGGGATACTTCATTTATTCATGGGTTCGGTCCTCAGTTTGGTCGAGAGATTCACACTGCTGATGAGATTTAACAAGATCGAAACAGTTGCACATTGCCTTCCAACTCGTCGCTTAACCTTCTAGTTGAAAATAAATTCATCGTATAGTTAGCTAACTGCTTCCTTGGTATATGTATTTATCAGTTTGCTGAACTAAAATCCGGTGACTTGATGAAACTTGACTACAATCACATTCTGCGCTCTCATTGGGTAATTCCAGTAGTAAAATATAATATTGTTTTATCTCAACTTCCGCATCTAGCTTTTCCAGCTCTTTTCTCACTTGTGAATGATTTTTTTTCTGGGTGCAACTAAACTCATATCATCGCTCGCTTTACTGAAGTAATATCATTCCTGTTTGCATCAGATCAAGTTAATACATACAAGAACTCCCAATAAGATTATTAATATTATCAGTACTATTACCACTACTACTGCTACTACTACTATTACTAATATTGCTTCCAATCATAGTTCCATTAACTCCTCAAAAGTAAGACAACTAACTAACCGAACCATCAGTTACCAACTTCCGACCGTTTTACCGGATGGATTGCATAGAAAAATTCCCAGTCATTCGAGTGAGAGAGAGAGAGATAGAATTGACATTCGCATTTCGCGAAAGAAAGGTTCACTGAATTCTCGTGTCACTGATGTGCAGTATGCCGAAAACATATGTACACACACGCACACACAGAGAGGTAAGGCCACCTAGAGAGATCGTCAGACGAGTTTGTTTTTCTCCTGGGTGAACTAACCTCTCTCTCTCGCGCGCGTGCTCCCTCTCCGTGGTTGACATGTTTGTGCTACATATGAATCGTTAACTACTGAATCGAATATACAGTAGAGGAGAGGGAGGAGTGACGGACGTAACGAGAAAGATGAAGTTGGGTCGGGTGGGGTGCGGTTGGGTGAAGCAATGGCAAAACTGTCCCTTTGATGGTTTTCCTCACTTTTGACTAAAGACAGAGTTTTGGTTCTGCTGAATTCAAAATCTATCCATCCATCCATCCATTTATTGACAGTTTTCTTAAGGTACTTTGAAATGACAGTTTGGACCAGGCATATAGGTTATTCTTTCTTTCGATCTAGGGTCAGCTAACAAATGTCAGCTTTTCTTTCCCAATAGAAGCCACAATTGCCAAAAAGAAAGAACTCCCAGACAAGCTTTTCACTGGAGTTTGAATTTTTGCTGGGATAAGAGGGAAGGAAGATATGGCTTAAGTCATTACGCTAAATGAAGTTCATATATGAATTAACCCTTGACTTTTTATTGCATGGGTCGACCAACGACGATTTTTACTTCCCATACACATTGGCGATGAAAGCCGGAAACGACTGTCCGGCTAAAAATAGGCTCT